GTGAAGTAACTTTATGGACTCAAGCAAGCATTCAAACAATGGCATGCTAAATTTGATCAAATGATGTTGGCAAATGGATTCAAGATTAACGAATGTGATAAATGTTTTACATTAAAAACATTATGAATCATGAATTCATTGTTTGTTTGTATGTTGATGACATGTTAATAATGAGTAAAGAAATTGACGATATAAATGCTACTAAGCGCATGTCGTCTAGCAAGTTCGATATGAAAGACTTAGGAGTTGTTGATTTGATCTTAGGGGTCAGGATTATCAAAACTCCCCAGGGACTAGCATTATCTCAAAATCTCATTATATTGAAAATGTATTGGATAAGTTAAATTACTTGAATTTCAATGTAGTCAAAACTCCAATTGATTTAAGTTGTACATTTAAAAAAGAATGAATCTGAGGGTGCTCTAAGTAAAGGCTAAGGGTGAGGAAGAGAGGGGTCCGGATATGGTATTTTATTGTTCTATTTATATGTTGTAAGGTGGGCGTTGGGTTGACCGATGATACCTACCAGTACGTTTGGTTGTACTGATACTACTCTTGCTATGTCTTTTTGACATAGTCTAGATGCAGGATTGATAATGTTTCATTACATGAAGATGAGGAAATCTTCCAACAACTTCGACTTTTCCTTTCACATTGTGGGAGCTTTGTCGTTTTATTAAATTGTTATTGTAATTCTTAGTACATCTTGTACCTGTTAGACTAGATCCTTGGGTTGTCAGGTTACTTTAAATGTTTTGACTAGGTCATGAATAAGAGGTTGTAATACAGATTTTTACCTTACATTATATACCCTGTTAATTGTCCTCATGAATAAACCTTTGGAATATGAGATTTTTCCTACGTAGGTGTTAGAGTGTGTGCCCGCACGACCTGGTGGGTTCCTGACATTCAGGCTTCCAATCATAGCTTATTACTTGTTCAAAATTATTTTATATGATTTTGAATATCACCAAAAGTGGCTTGAATTAGTTATCTTATGAATTCTCACTACTAAAAACAATGTTTAGCGACGGATACTAAGGATGAACAATATTCCGTTACTATATGACGACATACTTGCGATAGAATAACTATTTTTATAATATATCAACCGAACAGAATATTTAATTCGTCGCTAAATATTACCGCAAAATTTTGGCGCCTAATTTTTCGTACGGATTCAATTACAAAGTAGTGCTCATAGATTTAATTAATATCGGTCGACGGAATTAGTGACAGAAAAAAAGGTTACTAAACTATTAAATATATTTTATAATTATTTATATTATCTAGTGACAAAAATATCCGTCAATATAATTTCCTAAATAATATGTACATTTATTTGAAAACGACGGATTCTAGAATCCGTCACTAATTCCGTTACAAACTCCAATTTCAGTTTTCAATACTCTCATTTAATCTTATCCGTAGATCATGGTTCGTCAAAATCGAAGAATAAATCACAGCCGCTCATACGAATTTGACCAATGGTCGTGATTTAAGATCCTTGCTTTCCTGTTTTATACAAAAGAGCAATGATCTAATTGTCACACAATTAAACCAATGAATCTCTAATTACAGAAAAAGTTCCAAACTAGTCACTTGACTACATTTCGAAGGACTAATCTTGACTCAAATAAAAGGAATGAAAAATGGAGTGACTCTATGAATTTTTAGAAGAAACTAAATACACATAGAAAATCAATAATTCTCTTGCCGCACAAAGCACTGTGGGGCTCAACAGATGCTACCAAGTCACACGCTAGTTAATAAAATCCTCTTCAATACCACCTGAGCTCTTTGTAAAAAAAGTTAGCGAGGAGTGAAACGCTAAATCAGTGAGTAATAATACTTACCACAACCATTTTTAACGACGGACAAGTCATAAAACATGCTAGTATGATGGTCAAAATATTAAAATCACTTTCTTTTTTAGAAACCTTAACAATAAGCAATCTTATCTTCCTTATATATCTCAAATCAATGTAAATACTTAATAGTAAACTCAGAAAAATATTTTCATATCAAATCTTATTGTTGGGAGGTTTTTGAGAATGATTTTATGTAATCAGTGTGAGCTTCTCTTTAAGAAATACCAATAAAAGTTAACTCATCATAAAAGAATTAAATATTCATATCAGTAGATCCCTACCCTAGGGATATCAGTAACAATACACGTGTTCTACCTTCCCACTAGCAACGGTTTCATCACTAATGAGTAACTAGAAGCTACACAAGGCCTAACGAACCCGCAGTTATCTAGGAGATTTATCAAGGTCTACTCCATTTATATTTTTCTTGTAGTCAGTAGATTCATTTTAAAATCAAACAGATCATTTAAATCATATCAAATCATATAATTTCAAAGTTTAACAATCACCTATCAAAATATTATTTCTAAAATAAGTGTAAAACCTTTTCAATGACAATAATCTTATCTTGTAAGAATGAGATCATCTCAAATGATGTTTTTAGTATCATATTAGTAAAAGACTTGTCCCATATTTCAGAGAATAAAGAAAGAAGAAACAATGTATAAGAAGATAGAAGAAGAGTTGCAAAACTTTCACATTATATTATGATATTTGTAATGAAAATACATATGACACTTTATATAGGAATTAATACTCAACCACTTGAGAGAAACATGAACCACTAACATAACCACAACCTTATCCACTAAGCTAAATATTAGCAACTAACAGGAGATATGCTTCTACTCAACTAGGAATGCTAACAAGCATCAAGGAGAAAGTGATAATTGAGAACAAAAAATGGCTACCAATAGAGCATCTACCACATCTCAACAACTAATTCCCATCTTTGATGGGAATAAATATTGATTTTTGAACATAAAGATGAAGACTTTGTTAAAGCCTATAGAATAGTGAGGTTTTGTGGAGAAGGACTATGCTGAGGAAGATGGAGCACAAAGACTGTGTGATAACAAAAAGGACTCCAAGGCTCTATTTTACTTCCTCAAGTGATGCATGACTCAAATTTTTGCCAGAATTTGTGTTGCAAAAACCTCAAAAAATGAATGGTATATTCTGCAAAAATAAATTCCATGGCTCGACAAAGGTAATGAATGTTAAATTCTAATCACTCTGACTTGATTTCAAAAATTTGTCTATGAAAAGCGTTGAATTTGTGCACGGTTACTTATCTAGGGTTTGTACAATTGTTAATCATATTAAGGCATAGGTGAACAAATTAATGATGAAACTATAGTTTCTAAACTTTGAAAAGTCTTAATAAAAGATTTGATAAAGTCGTAGTTGTTATTGAGGAGCCCCGTGATTTATATAATTATGGTTTTGATGAATTGATGAGTTCGTTGCAAGCTCATGACTATAGACTGGATGTTTCTCAAGAAAATTGTGAAGAGAACGCATTTCAGATCAAGAAAAATATCTTCTTTCAAAGGCAAATTTCAATTGGCAGAGTATATGGAGGCAGAGGTAGTTTGTCTGGACAAGGCCGTGGCATAGGACGAGCTTATCTTTGCGTAAGCACCGGTTATTCAAGAGCAATATCCAGTGTTGCTATTGCAGAAAAATGGGGCACATGGAAGGTGATTGTTGCACTAAAAAGATGGATGAACAACAACATGTCAATTTCGCTGAGCAACAACAAGATGAGGGTAATCTATTTAGGGCTCATTGCTCAATGGATATTGCTCCAGATGACGTATAGATCATTGATAGTGGTTGTGACAACCACATGTCGGGCATAAGGTCACTGTTCAAAGAACTTGATAAATCAAAGAAGTCAGAAGTTCGTCTTGGAAATAACAAGCCATGACAGTCGACGGGGAAGGAACAATCGCTCTAAAAACTTCTCATGGTACGATCAAACTTATCCTTGATGTGAAATATGTTCCTTCTTTGTCCCATATCCTTTTGAGTGTGGTGCCTCTACTATTTTGTTTGACGACAATTCCTGTATCATTCAAGATAAAAATTCAGGACACAAAATTGTTGACATTCAAATGACTCAAAATAGAATATTTCCTCGTGAAGTTTCTGATGTTAAAAGTTTTGCTTTAATTACCAAAGGCAATACGGAAGCTAATTTATGGCATTTGCGGAATGGTCACTTGAATGTAAGGGGTTATAATTATTAGGTCGTAGAAATATGGTTATTGGTTTGCATAGAATTTATTCTCTTGAATTTTGTGAAGGATGTGTTTATGGAAAACAAAATAGAAATTCATTTCTTGAATGTAAGTTTTTGATAACATCTCTTGTCTTGAATTGGTTCATGATTATCTTTTTGGTCCTATGATTGTTGAGTCCTTAGGTGATACTTTTTGCTTTTTACGGATGTATAGTTTAATGAGTTGGGCATATTTCTTTAAATTCAAATAAGAAATATTTGAAAACTTCAAGAAATGTAAGTCTTTTGTTGAGATACAAAGTTTTTGTAGAATTAAGATTCTTAGAATAGATAGAGGTGGTGAATTTATATCAAATGAATTCAACACCTATTGCGAGGAAAATGGTACTCATAGATAGCTCGCAACACCATATACTCCGGAGCAGAATGGTTTTGCCGAATGCAAGAATTATACGGTCGTTGAAATGGTTAGAAGCATGATTGAATATATAGGTGTACCAAAATATTTATGGACTGAAGTTGTTGCTACTGCTGTCTACATGCTGAACATTTTAAGCACCAAGGTTGTTCTTAATCAAATAACATATGAATCATGGAGAGGTAACAAGCCCAAGGTAATCCACTTACGTGTCTTTGGATGTATATCTTATTCTTTAATGTATTCCCAAGCAAGATATAAGCTTGATGAAAAATCAATGAAATGTATCTTTGTTGGATATAGCACACAATCCAAAGCTTATAAGTTATATAATCCACTGAGTGGGAAATTGTGATCATTAAATATGTAATGTTTAATGAAGATTCTAGCGGGAACTTTGATTCTGAAAATGTTAGTTCAAATATTAAATTGTCGCCTACTGAAGGAGCTTTTCAACAAGAACCTGAAGCAGTTTCAGCAAGAACCTGTAGCAGTTTCTGTTCAAGGGAACACATCCAGATCTTCCCCAACAAGTAGAAGTCGTGATACTCATCAATAAACAACCTCTTCTCCAACAAGAGATCATAGCTAAACCCACCAAGGATGTGGCAGCAGTTCTTCTTCAAGTGATTCTTCCAGTGATACTCCACCAGCGAAATTCAGATCGTTAAGAGAGATTTAGGAAAATTTGTATTTTGCTTTGTATGTTATTGAACCCAGTTGCTTCAAGGAAGGTGTAGAAAGTAAAGCATGGAAAATGCAATGTGAAAAAAAATGCAAGCGATTGAGCAGAATCAAACATGGGAATTAGTGAATCTATCGGAAGAAAAGGAACCCATTGGACTCAAATAGGTGTTCAAAATCAAGCGGCATCAAGATGGGAGCATACAGCGATACAAAGCAAGCTTGTAGCTAAAAGATATGCACAACTGTAAAGAATGGCAGAAGAAAAGCATAATTTGGGAAACATTCTGCTAGCCCAAGATCGTGAACTAAGATTGGAAGATTCAACTAAATAAGTGAAAGCTATAAAGGAGAACTTGATTATGAAAGAATACTCTTTTATTAGGAGGTTCTTGGTTTTCTTGGGTTCATTACAAATGACTATGGCCACCCTAATTTATAGTAGTATAGGGATGCTTCTAGAAATTATTCTAGAAAGATCTAAAAGAAAAATCTAGATGACCTAATCTTCTAACTATCTAACAAGAATCTAGATATTTATATGATTTACTCTAAATATCTACTTCTCTAGAACATCCACACAATTCCTAGATACATCAAGTACTTAAGATACTACTCTACATAACTCTAAAAAGTTACACTAAATATCTAGGATTATCTATATCTCCAAAAAATCATATTTATTTTCACTGTCTCCCGTAAAGTGATTTTTTTGAAACTACCCGACACTTGTCGTGGAGGAGCCCCAGACAATAAATATTTAGGATTATTTATACCTCTAAATAATCTTTATTTTTCACAAACATCAAGTTATTGATTACGATGAGACATTTTCACTTGTCGCTTGCTTTGAAACGGTGAAAATACTCTTTTATTTAGCTGCTAAACTGAGCTGGCCCATTTAACACATTGATGTTAAATCCGCATTCTTAAATGGGCATTTTGAAGAGGAAGTTTATGTTTCCCAACCTGAGGGTTTTTGTGTTAGTGGCAATGAAAGCAAAGTATACAAGCTCAAGAAGTCTCTTTATGGGCTAAAACAAGCGCCACAAGCATGGTACAACAAAATTTACTCGTACTTCCTGAGAAATATATTTGAAAGGAGTGAAAATGAGCCTACGTTGTATGTAAATAAACAAGGTACAAGTGATTGTTTGGTAGTTTGTCTCTATGTAGATGACATGATATATATGGGGTTATGTGAAACTTTAGTTTCTGAATTAAAATATTTCATGATGTAGGAGTTTGAAATGGTAGATTTACGTGTTTTGTTATACTTTTTTTGTCTTCAAGTGAAACAGGTAGAAGATGGTATTTTTGTTTCACAAACAAAGTAATGCAAAAGACCTCTTGTTCATATTAGGTATGCATAATTGTAAAATAGTTGTCACGCCCATGAATACAAATAAAATATTTCAGCTTGAAGATGGCACAGATCTCGCTGATTCTAGTCACTACAGAAGCTTGATTTGAGGTTTGAACTACCTAACATATACTCATCTTGATATTAGGTTTTTTGCTAGTATGTTGTCTAGGTATTTTCATAAACCTACCAAACAACATCTTGGTTCTGCCAAAAGAGTTTTGCATTATGTTGTTGGAACAGTTGACTTATGGACTTTGTACATCAAAGAGGCAGATTTCAGTTTGAGTAATAGTGATTGGATAGGATGTCTAGATAACACAAAGAGTACTTCTGCAACTGTGTTCAATTGAGGATATGGAGCAATCTCTTGGATCTTAGAGAAGCAAGATGTGGTTGCACTATCATCATCAAAAGCAGAATCTGTTGTTGTAACTTCATCAACTTGTCAAGACTTATGTTTAGGAAGAATGTTAGTTGATGTTTCTATAGGCAAAAGGGTGGGACAAAAATATTCTGCTATAACAAGGCAATACATGCAATGACAAAGACCCTGGATTTTTACAACAGAACAAAACACATAAACATCCATCATCATTTCATTTGTCACTACACAACAAGAGGTGATATAGAGTTGATGTTTTGTAGTACAAGGGATCAAATTGCAGATATTCTCAGCAAGGCACTCCCACAAACCAAGCATGAGCAGTTCTGGCAGAAACTTGGAGTTTGTAATTTTCAATCAAGGGGTAGTGTAAAATATCTATTCGACACCACATGCCAGTACAAAACATTCGGTAACACATTTACTTAGCAAACCATGTGAAAATCATGCAAGTTATTAAACATCAAATATGGTAAGTTTACTACTCACAATATTCATATTGAAATACCAAATTTACCACTTCAAGTAATTTGTACAACCTTCATTCGATCAACCTATATTCATATCATATAAATCTCGTATTAAATATCCTTGATAGTAATTTCATGAACTAATTTACAACACCCAATCCCTAATGTTATGGTTCACCCTCATTCGTCAACTCATATTTATTCAATAGTTTGTCAGTCGTTCAATTTCCACCAACAAAGAGGCGTAATTTTATATTTCTGTTTGAAACATTCTCTAACTAATTCACTAGTAATCAATCACAGTGTAACTCACTAGTGAGACTAAGAATATCTAGGTTTAGGAGAATAAAAATCTTCCTTTGTTCATCGATATTTTCATTGTTAAATCTGTTGAAATTCATATTTGAATTATCAATGATACATTAACACAACCCCTGATAATACATATATAGGAATGTCAATGAACTGAAAAAAATTCCTTGAAATCCATATTTATAACTGTGCAGGTTCAATACTTCTTCTTCTTCTTTTGTGAAAAAGATCTTCTTTTTTTCTGTGATGACTATCTTCGTGCTCCTTCATAGACAGAGAAGCAAGGAATACATTTTATTTTATGTTTTTCGTTCATTCACTAGAGAAAAAGAATAGCTAACCTTTTTTATTTTATTTTTTAGTTACTGCGCGTAAATTAGGGGAGGAATGCTGCACAAATGTGTTTGTGTTTGTATAAAGCAAAAAAAATTGTATATATACATTTATTTTCGTTCCCCTCTTCCAGTCTCGCTCGCCTCCCTCGCCTCTATTACTTATACAAATAGAAATTAAATTTATAAATTGTGTTTCTGTTTGTATAAAGTGATAGAAAATTGTGTATACACTTGTAAATACATATTTCTTCGTCCTATACACTTATAATTATACAATACAAATATTACCCTGCCCAATTTTCTTTTATTTTTCTCTCTTTCTCGTTTTATACATACTTTAATTATACAATTGATTTGTATACAACTGCTTTCTTTTGTATATGCATAGCGAATTATACAATTGCTTTCTTTGTGGATGTATCGCAAATTATACATATTTATTTTGTCTATGGAGCGTAATTATGCAAACTTTGTTATAACATACAAATATGAATTTTTTGTTTGCTATATGTGAAAGTTGTCCTTATATTATAGGGTATTACATGTGGATTTGTTGTTTTGAAATTGTGTTTGAGTGCCAATTCCAATGATTTTGTACTTGTGAACGTGAAAATGGATAATAGGCGACTTTTTTGCGAGTTAACCGTTTTGTTTGAACCTATGTTTTGACCACCTTGTGAGTTGTGTGATTCATTTTTCCCAACCTCTACCTGCAATTTTTGTTGGTAAAGAAAATAAACCTTCAATCCGAACCACTTTGAAACCTTATACCTCTTTTTTTATCCAAAATATTCTTACAACATTGAGGTGTAATTGTATACCAACTTAGGCCAAAAGTGAATGCATAGATGAAGTTCGCATGGTTGATATATACCGTGCCAGTGGAATATGATAAACAACTGTGGCAAAAGGAATCTACAACTGAATATTTCAACACATCGGAATCATTTCTTCAATTCATATATTAGATTAGAAGTGAAAGCATTTAGTCTAATCAAGATACAAGATCTTTGGTAGTTTAATAGTTATTACAACCCATGAAGAACATTTGATATGCCGGCTTAGAGAAATTGAGAGACGCAAGGCAAAACTTTAAAATCACGATGAAGCTCAACTACTTTTTGCTTGTCATACTTCTAATAGTCTTTTTCCACCACAATAATATGTTGAGCTTTCACAAAATATAATAAAATATCCAGGTGGGCTATCATGATCTATTATGACATTGGGTCACATTTGCAAGGGAGATCTGTATAAGAATGGAGATACGAATTCAACAACTATGAGAAATTCCTCATTATGATATTCAAAAGATTCTGAAGATAAGCTTTGATGGACTTGATTGTGATGCTCAGAATGTTTTCCTTGATATCGTGTGTGCCTTAACGGATTCTTTGAGGATGAAGTTACCAAAACATTAAGTGTGTGGTTTTTATTTTAAAAGTGCAATTACAATCTTAGTCCAAAGGAACTTGGTCCAAAGGGATTACCGTTATTTGGTGATGTATGATCTTGTTCGGGATATGGGAAGAGAAATATTTCACATGTAATCAACTCATGAGTTTGGAATACGGAGTAGACTATTCAAATCTCAAGAAGTCCGTGTTGTTGTACAAGGAAATACAGTCGGTAAATTCTCTTATATTTATCTTGGTTATACTCCTGTTTTAATTTAAAGTCAGTAATATTGTAGAAGAACGAGCATTAAAGGGTGTGAACTTGAGCACCAAAGCATTTAAGAAGAAGATAAAATCTCAGGGTGCTTGCAATTGACGGCAAGTTTCATATAAGTGAAAATTTCGAGCTATTGTCCAAGGAGCTCAAATTGTTGTGAAACTTGTATTTCTGAATATAAATGGGACTAATATCGAAGAATTTTGTTTGAATTTGCAGGTTTGTTTCTCGATTATGCAATTTCATGTGTTATGTTTTATTGCAACTAGGTGAAAGAAAATCTTACTAGAAGTTATTTTGTTTATTTTTAGCATGGTAGAAGTTTGAAGAAGTTTGATCTCTCTGTCAACAATTCTCTAATGTAGAAGAAAGAACTATGTATTCAAGCAATTAAGAGAAATATTGATCTTCATAAGAGAGCTTTTGAGAAGCTACAAATACATTGTAAATGAATGAACATATCATTGATTATCAAATAGTATATGGATGCCTAAAACAGACTTTGCTTTCTAACTAACTCATACGTCACCCATGTGACTCTTTTGACAACCTTCTAGTAGCTTCCTAATAATGTTAATCACCTCTAATAGACAGATAACAGTGTGACATGCTTATCGTGGAAAATAACTCTTTCAATAATCCCCCTCAATCTGGTGGTTGGAATACATCCAACATACCTAGTGTGCCAATAAGAAGCTCAGGTAATCCTGTTCCAAGTCCCTTAACAAACATATCTTCCAGTTTCATAGAAGTGCAAAGGTATTGACGATCTATGAATTCTGACTTCACTATGTCTCTGATAAATTAACAGTCGATCTCAATATGTTTTTCATGAAAAATGGGACTTCCTAATTGTTGCCTTACGCTCACTGAAACTTTGATATGATCTAAATTATGAACATTCAACTCTTTCTAGTAATCTTGTAAGACAAATAAATTCTGAAACCACAACAGCCATGCTTCTGTAATATGCTTCTGCAGAGCTCCTCCTCACACTCTGTTGCTTCTTTGATTTCCATGAAATTATAGAATCTCCAAGTTTCACCACATAAATAGTTACCGACTTTCTAGTATTTGGGCACCCATTATGAATCAGAGTCGCCAACCAAATCTTAACAGCTCGTATGTTAAGCAAAGTGCCAAGTCTAGGATATTTCTTAATGTAATTTACAATTTTTAGTGTTGCATTCCAATTTAATTCCTAGGGACGTTGGATAAACTGAATACTTCAACTCTAAAACAAATGTTTGTCCTTGTGATGGTCAGATAGGTTAGTTTACGAATTAATTGTGGATATGATGTGAAATCTTCAAACTCTAGATCAATTGTGACTCCCAAATGTTGATCAGATTCTACACTTGTGAACTTATGATTGAATTCTATTAGAACATCTGGTCTTACGACGTTATTTAGTAGTTTAGTCATAATAGGATTGTCGTACTAATTCAACATTTATTTTTCTCCTCATGCAAATAAGGAACAATGACCAATCACAATGGTAACAGTAATGGAAACAATCCCAGAGTTGTCAATGCTGATAAAATGATAGACACAAATATTATCATTCAATTCGATCCCCATCCCAATAACCCATCAAACTAAGAGGTGGTTACAACTTCTCCACCTGGAAAGCCTGAATTTCCATGCATATGTATGGCTACAACCTTTTTTGCCATCTCGATGGAACCACTCTGTCCTAGTCGCACGATTACCCTCGGCATGAATATATATCTCAATCTTGCCTTCTTAGATTGATTCCATGGACCAACTCATCTAAATGCCCTCATGGCTTTTGTCAAACCCACTATTGCCTCTACTGTTGTTGCCGCTGACTCAGCTAAATAAGCTTGGGATGCCTTGCATACCACTTATGCGAATAAATCTCAAAGTCCAGTCTTCAGTTCACGTGATCATCTTTTCCGTGTCACTACGAAGTCTCGCTCCATTACTGAATATCTTCACACTATTTGGTCCTTTTTGGATGAGTTAGACACTGCTGGTACTCCTTTTTCCAATCCTAAACTCATCGTCAAAATACTTAGCGGTCTAGTTCCCGAATTTTGTGAAATCTCTATTGCCATTTGTACATGCTATACAACTATCTCCTATGAGGAAATGTTTGAAAAATTACTTGATTTTGAACTCTTCTTTTGCCACGAGGATTCTAAGAAACTACCCAGTACAATCATTGCTACTCCCAGCAAATTCAACTCCAATAATCGCAACAATCGTAGACAAACCAACAACATTGAACTATGGCGCCAAAACTCGCATCCAAGCGCTCCACCACAATGGTAGTCCAATCAAATCCAAACGGTGTTACTCGTTGTCAACTATGTAACAGAATTGGGCACACCGCTAATGTTTGCCGCTCGAAGTTTTATCATCACTTTGAAGCGAAAGCAAACAATGCCGCTGGTCTTACAACGGACACCAACCCCTAGATTGTTGACTCAGGATTCATTCATCACATCACAATAGATCCACACAAACTACGACCATACAGCGGTAACGAGGATATCTCCATGGGTGATGTTAACAAAATTCCTATCTCCCACACTAGTTCTACTAAATTAAATGCATCGAAAAATGTTTTTAAGCTAACACACTTTGTATATCCCTTCCATCAAAGGAAAGTTTCTCTGTGTTTCTAAATTTTTTAAAAACAATCGTAAATGTATTGAATTTTTTTCCTTTTAACTTTGTTGTGAAGGATCTGAAAATGAGGAAGTCACTAGTGCATGGCTGGATCAACGATGAACTGTATGAGTGGCCTGTCTCACATATACAAGCTCACATTATCTCCACATACATCCCTCTCACTACTTGGCACCAACGTCTTAGTCATTCTCACTCCAGAGTTCTTAGGTCTATTTAAATAAGTTATCGCTGCCGTTTCATGCGCGAGAAAAAAATGTCATTGTAATTCTTGGTTATCTAATAAAGCTCATCGACATCCTTTTACTCAATTATCATTGTGTAGATCTAAACCACTTCAAATTATATTTAGTAATTTATGGGGGCCATCACCAGTCTTATTTCATGATAAAAATTTATATTATTGTATTTTTGTTGACCAATATACGAAGTGCACTTGGATCTACACGCTGCGAAAGAAAAGTAATGTTAAAGATATCTTTCAAAAATTTCATCCAATGATGGAAAAACATTTTGAAACTAAAATTTTATCATTATAAAATGATGGCAGGGGTGAGTATAAACGTTTTTACTCCTATATTTCATGTCACGACATCCAACCCCTCTCCATCTCACCCTATACACCCCAACGAGTAGCACTTGCAGAAAAACAAAACTGTCATATGATTGAAACTGCAACAACACTCTTACATGGTCTTTTGCATGTCATCACATTGTCTACCTCATCAATCGTCTTCCACCCTCTCACCTGGATAATCAATCCCCATTCCAAAGATTACTTGAAAATCACCTAATTACAACTCCCTGTGGATTTTTGTTTGTTTATGCTATCCATGGCTTAAACATACTCAAAAAATAAATTTGAATCAAAATCTAGCTAATGTGTCTATCTTGGATTCTCACTATCCCATCATTGTCACCAGAATTTTTACTCAATTTTTACAAAGGTGTACTTATCCCGAGATGTTGATTTGTTGAGGTTGTTTTTCCATTCAAGACATTGTTCTCCAACACTACCATTAAATCATCTCACCTGGAATGGGCAAAAACAACAAGGCCAAGTACTTCAGACCCCACACCCAAACTTCACATAGTTACAGATCTGCCAACTCCATTAGAAATAGAAGCACGCACAATTAAAGATTTTCCATCACCATATGTTTCCTCTCCAGACAAGTTAGTAGACAACTCAAACTCGCAGTCCTTATCCGATAATACATCAGCGGCAAACACCACATATTCATCTCTTTTAACTCCTTTCTCTCCAGGTAAGTTTATGTCTTCCTCAGCTTCAATAATTCCTGCTTCCCAGAACACCTCTTCTATATATACTTCACAGCTTTTAGTACTACTACCAATATGAGTATTGATTGGTTTAGCCACACTAAGTCTAGTGTATGCAATAAGATGAAGAGCATACCTCCTCTAATTCAACCATATATCCGTTTTGGAGTGAATTACTTTTATGCCTAAGAAATATCTAAGTTTTCTTAAATCCTTCAATTGAAACATTGATTAAGATTAGATTTTGTTTCCTCAATGATAGATGTGCTAGTTCAAGTGATAAGTAAGTCATTAACATACACAAGGAGGACAAAATAGCATCCCACTACTTCCTGGTGAATAAAGAGCGATCATGTGGACTTCGAGAGAAACCAATGTGTAGCAAAGCATCAGTGAACTTGATGTTTCATTGTCTTGATGTTTGATTAAGACCATAAAGGAATTTTAAAGCTTGCAAACCTTATGCTCCCCCTTATTTAGAAAACTCATAGTAAACTCCATGTACACATCATCATGTAAATCAGCTTAGAAGAAAAAAATTGGCATCCTTTTGAAAAAATTTCCCAATCATGTAAGGCAACCAAGTTGAGAACAGTACTGAATGTCACCATTTTTGCAACCGCAGAGAAATATTCATTATAGTCTAACCCCTCCCTTCGAGTATATACATTTTCTATCAACCTTGCCTTAACTCTATCCACGTCACCATTGGACTTATATTTGATCTTATAGACCCATTGGACCTAATAGCTTTAGCCTTTGGAGGTAAATACACAAGAGTCCAAGTCTAATTATATTCTACAGAATTGATTTCTTACTACATTGCCAAGGTCCATCTTTCACCTTGGGAAGCTTCTTTAAAAGATTGTGGTTCAACCATGGATGAAAAAGCTTGAACAAAGTCTTGATAATTAGTGGATAGATGATCATATAAAACATAATTAGTGATGGAGTACAAACTAGGCTTAGCTGATATGACATAGTCTTTGGTCCAAATAGGTGGTTTTGATGTCCTATTTGACTTTCTAAGACTATCAACAGTGGTTGCTTGTATTTAAGGAATTTGTAATTCTAGAGGGTGCTCCTCCAACACAATATGAGTGATATCTTCATGAGGAAAGTTCATCACTGATACTCGATCCACGGGTGAAACTACACAGTAATAAGCATTTTTGGATTCATGGAAAGTATTTGTCAAAGTACATGTATCACACACAAAAGGTGAGACCAAAGGGAGATTATGATCTGGTATCTCTTTTTCTTAAAAAGGAAATAATTGTTCTCTGAATGTGACATCTCGACTAATGAATACACTTTTAACCTATAAGTTATATAGCATGTATCCTTTCTGTGTAGATGAGTATCCAATGATTGCTTTCTTCGCCCTAGGAGCAAACTTATGCCCTTTCTTTAGTACGATGGCATAGCATAAACAACCAAAAACTTTCAAGTGAGTCGTGTTTGGAGGTTTGTGGAACAATACTTCATATGGAGACTTTCATTTTAGCAAAAAGAAGGTCGTTTATTGATCAGATGTACAACAGTCACCACAATCTCCCCAAAATCTGCTTGGAATATGAAACTATATCATCAGAGCCCTTTCTGTTAGATATGTTTATGTTTTCTTTCCACAACATCATTTTGTTGCGGTGTATATGGACAACCATTTCGATGAATGATCTCATACTAAGTTAACAAAGCATTCATAATAGTATTGAAAAAAACAGTTCAATTATCAGATCGCAAATTTTTTATTGAATTGCAATGGAAACTACTTAATTAACAAGTAACTAAGAATAAAAATAAGAATGGAGGATGAAAAGTTCAATTAATATCTAAAAAAATAGAGAGAAGTATCTAGAATATTTAAAGTTATAATGAAATGAAGAGATATATCTAGAATGAGTGTTCCTGAGGGAAAAATATAGGAATAATCTAGAATGGATGGTTATAAATTATGCAGTTGGAGGAACGTTCTAGAGTAAAATAGTAAATATCCTCCATTAGATCTAATCCTTCCATCACCACCTATAATTAGAGGTGGTCATTTGAGGTGTATCCAAGAAAGAAAGAAAGTAAGCAAGCAAGTAAGTGCTCAACCTAGATCTCAAGTAAAACTATTGCTGGATGTTTAATTCTTAAGCTTCTTTGTGGTTTAGACCTACGCCCAACAACTTGGCCACCGTCTGGGCTATCCGTGTTAAACAACATATAATTCCATCTACACATGGATACAATATATATACTAGTTCACACTTTTATAATAAGTAAGGCATGACATTCTAACATGTCAAAGAACAAAACAATAATTAGAGAAAACGAAACAGCTAAAATTGGAAAAAATCAAACAAATAAGTAGTCCCAATAAGTGCACATATATAAAAAAATAACTGCAGCAACACATAACTCATAGTCTTGAGATTTTAGAAGTCACAAAAAAGGGGAACACATCATCCTTCAAAACCATCAATTGTCTTAGTTTTAAAATCTTCAAACCAAACAAACAAACAACAGACAATTAAACCATCACAAATCAGAGAAACCTAATGCTTCTTTGATTTTTAAAATTGTGGCGTTCAAAATGTCATGAACAGAAATAACAACCTCCATTTGTTGCTGCTTTGAGGTTGGATTATTATTGCCAAAAATCAATATTTGAAAAACCACAATCAAAATTGAATCATTTTGTGCATTACGGTGTTGTCTCTATTCAAAGAGAGCCGACCATCAGTACTTATGATGATACTAGAGGGCCAAATGGGAACTATTGTTGCATCATCTCCATTGACAATTGAAGAAGTTGTTAGTAACTCTATGGGTGCATAGACTAAAAATGTTCCCATTTGATAAACGCTCTTCTGATCAAGCACTAACATTTCCTTATGCATATTATAAGGTTTAATATGCATTACAACAATTAAGAAATATTAGGGCAAATACTATAAAAGAATAAGTGAAGGATAAGTTATGTTGCGAAACAATAAAAAATCCACAGCTAATCCTATTTAATAATGAATCAGTGAAGGATTATTAAACAATCTTTTTACATATAGGCTATAGGTTATTTAACCATAAATTAACAAGGAATTTCATAGCTAATTCTTATTCTTTTTCTTCGTGAAATATATTTAGCATTACATATCAGTTACCCAAATCTTTAAAGATAATTATTGAATCATGAAAAAACAAGTAGAATTATTAATATAGGAAATGAGACAAACAACAACTTATTGTAAATGGCTAAGCTATGATGATAATGTGAAGAAGAAATGTTAGTCTTTATTTATGTGTTTTTTATATGGTTAATTGACTACAAGTCAAAAGTGAAATTGGACTGTAGAAAATTATTTTTGATTAAATTATTAAAGAACAAAAAGTATAAAGGAAGAAAAGATACAACTTTAGAAATTTTGGTATTTTTGCATGTGAAAAAAAAGATCAATCCAATCATAAGTAATATTATTTGATTCAGGAAAAATGTCATTATTACTTGATAATTTAAGCAAAAATAGCTTATTATAAATATGACAAATACCTGAAGGATTGTAGTATTGTTTGCTAGAAAAGTTCCTGTTAGTACTCGATCTAACTCAATCACATGATTTCCAACGATTAAAATATCCCACTGAAAAATAAATCAAAGTGATAAACAATATCATAATTAAATTGACAAAAAATTAGTATGTGGGATGCGTATTATCTAAGATCATATATTTAAAACAATATAAGACTAGTTAAACATGTAGATAATATAATATATAAGTGTGTTCAACAACAAAATGGACTGATAAATCTAATTGAAAAATGAGTTTTATTTTATTACTATTGGATTAATGGATTTTAATGATCTTATATAAAAACAAAAGAATTATCGGGTTTTCAGTTTGGTATTTGGTTTTTTAATATTGGTTATTGAGTAAATCTATGACTCATTAAGACTATAGTTATTTATAACTTTACCATACATAAATATTAAATACTAATCTTAATACACTAGTTATTGTTTGTTCCCTTTAGCGTTCAATTCACACTTCATAGTGACTTTGAGTTCATAATCTCATATTATATAAAATGTTTAAACCTAAAATAAGTACTTTATTCCTATTAATTTCTCTTTTGGCTAGACCACCCCATTCGGGCTAACCCATACATGCTTTGACATTTTACGTATCAGGTCAGGCTAGCCCACTTTTGTGTGGGCTAGAAAATGGTCGGCCCAACCCACAAGTACATGGGCTACATGCTTGCCGGGCCAGCCCAATTTATTAAAAATTATATTTTTTCTAATTATTAAAATATTATAAATTATGATTTAAAAATATAATCATAAATATTAGAAAAAAATATTACTTGATGTTAATATTACTACTTGATAATAAAATCCACAAATAAAATTATCTTTAAAATATTTATTAAGTTTTTTATAAATAAAAGTATAAATATCTAAATAGAAATATTAATCAAATTTTAAATTTTATTAGTATTTTATATTTTTAATTATTTTGTATTGGCTCATGAGAAGGCCCTACCGATATTTCTCAAGCCCCATAAATTAGCAGTCTTGTTCAAGCCGGGATATAAAGCATTTTTCTTATATGGGCTTCAAAAATCTTAGTCCATATCTATTAAATTCAAGATAGGCTAGGACGGCCCAATGGGCCTAGCCCATATTGATGGCTCTAAGATTGAAAATGTTAAAATTACTTCTTCAATAACATGTTTGGCTCATAAAATTGAAGATTGATGCAAAGATATATACAATCATTTTTTTTATGAAAATCATTCTCTATAACAACATCTCACCTATTATATACTTTAATAACAATAATCTCACAATGTTGAGCCTTGAAAGGGTAGAATATACACAAATCTTACCCCTATTTTTGAAGGAAGAGAGACTATTTTTGAAATATCCTCGGTAAATTCAATGTATAATCAAAGTTTTATTTGAAAACGATATCAATATCATGTTATAGTATTATGTTCTCTATAGTAACATTTTGTTATAACCATGAAAGAATTATCTAAACAAATGACATTATTATAAAGAGGTTTGATACGTACCTGATTTCTTGCCTTATCGTCTTTGAAATAATTGAAGACATC